CAACGGTTTCATGTAGATCGTAGGCTCTCAGAAACCAGAAGTCACACTTCTCACAGAGCAAGTACGCAAGCTGGCTGCGTGGCTGGCCGGCACAGGGACAGGAGGACAGGCAGCTTTCCCATCCTTTTACATGTGCCCTGAAAGGGGCATTATCAAGATACATGTAGGCAGCGTTTCCCTTTCAACCTGCAAACCAGGTCACGCGCAATCCATCACGCACCTGTACAGACACATGCGCGGACACGCCCAGCGAGCTCCAGGAAAGCCCGCCCATCGAGGGGCTCGTCCCGCTGCACTGAGGCAGACGCCCAGGCCCCACTCCCCACCTACTGGAACTGAACCGGAGCTGAACTGGAGGAGGCTTCTGCCTGGGGCCAGACTGCCCGGGCCGAGCATGCCAAGGAGATGGAGGCTTGGAAGCGACGCGTCTCCGTCCACAAAGCCACCATTTACACACAGTTCACAGGGTCTGGGGCCGGCAGTACTTGCAGCAAAGTACAGTTCAAGCCTACACCTCCGGGTAGACCTCAAGGTGGAAGTGACTTTCTCCCGTGACTCGGAGGAATGAGGCAGACGAGAGTAAGTTCCTCCAACTCCTCAGAGCTCAACAGCAGAGGGAGAAGCTCCGGGGCTGAGGGAAGGTGCTGTCCCGACCAGACCCACGGGGCTCAGCGAGAGCTGCTTTAGGGACCAGCTCAGGAGATGGTGACTTGGCCACTCAACTCGGAGGCACCACTTTGTAAACGACACGATCATTTTTGGGTACAAGAGGTGCTTTAAATGTGGTAACATTATATCATTTCAGCTATAATGATCATAATTACTTATTTCTTTTAATCACAAGCCACTTAACCACTTTAGTACAGAAGACTAGTTCAAGGAGTTTAATTTTCATTCAACATCTAATCTTTGTGTTTACCGAAACCCTTCGCGGGCTTTGTTTACTGTCTGCCTGCTGGCCTGGACGTTTGATCTTGCAGGACTAGATCAGACAGGGTCAGATAAAATACTGATTGCTACAATAAACTGGCTCAGAGAAGTAGCACTGCCTTCTTAAGTCCTCCTTTCTCCCACATTTTTTAATATTTCACAGAATATGCTCAAATAAGCAAATAAAATTTAGAAAACTGGCAATCAGGGGGTCTTGAGCAGGGCCTGAGAACAAGGATGTAATGGAATAATTTTGCTTCCTGGCCAAAGTTCAGGGCTTTGTTAGGTCCGCTCGTCCCAGCAGTATTACCTGATGACACAAATAATTTTACAATAGCCACCAGGATTTTTGTGAACTCTGAATGACCCTTTTTAATTCTTCAGACATATTAAATACTGGAGACTAACCTCACTAAAATTGATAATTCACTATGCTTTGCTAAAAAACATTTTAAATGAGAAAATTTAGATATAAAATTATACTTTTTAAATTACTAATTAGTACCCATTTAAAACAGGTAAGACCTTCTCTGCAAGAGCCCTCTCTTGTTTTTCTGCTGCCTGTGCAGAATCAGACTGGCTCGGACTATAACTGGTGCTGCTGCATGCACACGCACCCACAGTGTCATAAAAACGGGGTGGGGGGTTCAATCTAGAGCTCTCATGCAAAAGACCAGCAGCGTTAAACACAGATGACTGTTGTATCAAAATGTGTAGAATTCATGAAAGATTACTAGAGTAAAAGCTTAATAATCCCAAGACTTCAAATGTAATTTTATACTAGCATGGATGTTCCTAGGTGTGTACGTTTTCCCCTGTGTCCAACACTGAAACTTCTAAACATTAAGCAACCATTATTACATAAAATGTACACTGTTTTCTTTACACTTGGGAGCTTATGAAACTCTGTGCTTTAAAATCTAGGCCCGAAGCAATGATGGTATGAGATAAGGGACCATTTCTTTTCAAAAAATTAAAAAAGCTCCCTGAAGCAAGCCACCAGCCCATCATGCACTCTGATTTCTTCAATATCAAAAACTCCTGGGAAACAGGTTCAGGGTCTTGGACCTCGAAACCAGAGCACACAAACTCTGTCTCCCTGTCTATCCTAAAGTAACGCCAATGTTAACTCAAATATGTCTGTGTCAACCTTGATTGTCTTTGAAATTAAAGAAAAAAAGGTAAACAGAATGTGCTTTGCTATGATCACTGAGGAAACTAAAGTTAGCATGCTAAGCCAAACCAATTTAGGGCTTTTTAAAGGACAAGTGTAAATAGTTTAGCTATAATAACAACAAATTCAAAAAATGCACATTAAAATGTTTACTTCAAAATTTAGACAATTCCATTTGTATATAGTTTTTACATATGTTTTTAATGATATCAAATTATTGATTGTTCGTTTTTCTCCTATTTATTTAAGCATTAACTATAGAATTTGCAATCTGATCTTTTTTTTAATCCTTCCAGTAGACTTTTATTTTTGCCAGGTTTGAGTCATATTTACTTTGATCTTTCAGAGTATATAATTATTTTACTGTTTATTTCTATGAGAAGAGAAAAAAATTTTGACCTAGGAGATCTATACGTGGCAATTTGTAACAGAATCACATAGCTTATGTTTAGAAAATCATGGTTTTGATTAAGAAGCAACCATTTAGTTCCCACTGTTTTATTAAAACAGACATTAGCAGATAATAAGAAACATATTTAACAATGTAGCTGCATTTACTTCGGGACATCAGTGAGCTTGCTCGAGACTTTGGTCTGCACTGAGCACCAGCCTCCCAGATGCAAACCAGTAATGGGGCCAGTGAGACAAAGGCGGAGAAGGAGCCACAGGGACCCGGACTTCTGGGTCCCCAGGAGGAGCCCTAGTATAGAATTCTGGCACTGCTCACTGCAGAGCTGAAGCTCACTGCTTCTGGGGTCTGTTTGGGAAACTGATGGAGACAGGCTTTACAAACCACACCGCTGCCTTCCTACAAGAAACGGGAGAGTGTTCCTGCCCCCCAGCGCCCACCAGGACAGCTCCTCGCAGAGAGAAGCATCCAGGAAACGAGCTGTGCCTGTCCCGTTCCAGTGCGTCCTCCCCCGCCCCCGAGGGTCGAAAGTTAACAAAGTGCACTCTCTGGGTGTCTGTTTTCTGCGCACATTCTACCTGCCACACATTCTTTGTTCTCCCGCCCACTCCCTCGGCTGATGAATCAACACCACTTGAACTGTTTTATGGCAGCTTGTGTTTACTTCACACATACCTTAACCTTCCCTTCCCTCCTCCCGCTGTGCACACACAGACACACACACTCCAGCAGCAATGCTGAGTGGCGTGTGCACACACCGTGTCTGGCAGCCTCTTCAGTGTGGTCCTTGACCTCCTGAAGGAAATCAAGGTCTCAGTCTGCTTTTATGGCACTTAAAGATTTAACTGTGCATTTACTATCTTAAAAAAAAAACAGAGCTTCAAGAACTGAATCTCTAAGAAAGAAGAGCAGAAGACGCAGATGTGAAGGTGTGCACACCTGCAGGCACACGCGCACACAAGCGCAGCACGCACACATTCCCGACAGCAATTCTGAAAGCACTAGAGTGAAGGGTCTGCGTCTCGCTGAATCTGGAATACGTGAAAGAGGACGTGCTCTTCCTTCCACTTAGAACAGCAAGTAAATGGGGTCTAACGAGTGACCTTGCGATCCTTAGCCAGAGAGGATGTGTTCAGGTACTATAACAATCCTATTTTAACAGAAAAACTTGGAGGCAACACTCACAGAAAAGAAACCCTTCTGAACTCACAATCAGGCCATGGACAGGCTCACTCATCCTCTACGGCATGAGGTGAGGATTAATATTCCACGGCGAGTGCCCAGACCCGCGCCGGAAGCACTCAGAGAGTTTTAGAACACCTTGCACAGAAGGGATCATCAATTTTCAGTGGACTTAATGCTCCTAGGCAGCCCCACATTTTGGGTTTCCTTTTAAATTGTATACTTAGCACAAAATGCTCTGTCTTTGTCTTCAGAAAAATGTTGCCAGTGCAGGGGAAGCTCATTTCCTCAAAAAGGTAACCTTGTGAACAGGATCCCACACCTCAGTGCCAGAAGCACAACTATGGTCCCCAGGAAACCGGCATCCTTCCCTTTCCTACCCCCACGGCCTGGCCCTGGCCCTCAGAAGGCAAAGGAGCTGCAGGCAAGGCCTTGAACACCTACGAGAGAGCGTGAGGAACAATGTCACAACCACGCAAAGCAAGGACTGGAAGGGCCTTCAAATGTCAACAATGCAAAAGCACACCCCAATTCCCTCGGGGACCTGCTGGGTTTATGGCAAGCGCAACCAGTATGTAACATATTTGTAAAGGTAAAGCATCGCGGATGTGCTTAAGGAGCTGGGCAGTGTAAGGCCAAACATAGTTCCAGATGTAGTAACACTTCTGCTCTTTCTCCTCCTACTATTAATTATTACTGCCATTAGACCATTGTGGTTATTAGGTTTTAGGTTACCTTCTCAGATACTGTCTCATCCAGCCTTCACACTATCCGGGGAACCAGACACTTGTATTTTCTCCGATTGTGCAGTGGGGAGACTGAATCTTGGTGAAACAACCTGTTCAAGTTCACAGGGTTGGCAAGTGGAAGACACATTTGGACACGCGCCTGCCAGGGTGCAGGGCTCTTCCTCTGCCCACTGCTCCAGAACCACCCTGCGAATGACTTCCAAGCAGATTTCCTGACGCCGAGGGAGACATTCCAACTTGTGCATCAGCAGTCAAACCCGGAGCACTGCTATGGCCTAGAATAACTGCTTCTCAATTTCTAAAGGATTCTGGTCTTCACAAGTAACACTGGAGAGAGCTACAAACTTGATAAATTATGCTAAGAGTTTTACTTTTAGTTCTAATACCATCTCAGTTTTAAGGGAGCCAATTTGCATCTCATGACAGAAACATTAAGATTCTTACCTTCACAATAAAATACAGAGAAGCAAGATCTGAAGTTAGCATATATTCCAAACAACCAACAACTCATCGACCTTAAAAAAAACAGGCTTTAAAGACAAAGAAGTCATTTTACCTTTAATCTTCTTATATTTTTTATACCATCTCCCAAACTCCTGGCACTTGGTTGCTGACACATTGGCATAATATGTGCTATTTACAATGGATGAAATCATACTCTGAAAAGAAGAAAAAAGGTAAGTTATGTTTCAAATACATGAATTTCCCTTTATGGGGACAAGAACAGTCATTCTAGCCCTCACTGGCACTTGTCGCTCTTCTACCTGGGGCGCCACCCTCCTGCGAGCCAGGCGCCCAGCCCTCAGCTGACCCTGAACAACGATAGCGCCTTCTCCAAAAAGCCCACCCCAGGCAGGTTCAGGAGCAGGGGAAGAGCTCAGGCTAAGGGGGGAAGCAAGGGACATTCGGGGACAGAGCAGAGGTGTGCAGGGTGGGCAGTGAAGCCACTCAGATGCTTCTGTTCTGCGGCCAACTGCAACCCTCGAGGCAGCCAAGAATCTGAGAACATCCGTGCTACACACTGCAGAACAACGTTTAGGGAAATAAGTTAAATTAATATCATTTATAGAAATGTGTGATTAGCACTTGTGTGAACACTCACCAAATGAAAAAATTAACAGTGCTATTTTGGATCAGGGGAGACCAAACCCAACACTTGTAGTGTGTTTCAACCCAAAACATGTCGAAGCCACAACTCTGAGGTTCAGGACCAAGACCCTTCCTTGTTCCTTGTTCCTCTCCCTCCTCACTCAGGCCCTGCAACCATTTGGCTGCTGTTGGGACTGGAAGGAAAGCACAACCGACTCAGCACTGAAAAACCAAACAATGGTCACACACCCTGACGTAAAGGTCCCACTGCGAAACGTGTGCTGTCCACACAGCCAGCCGGGCTACCCGGGTGGAGATGGCCACTCCCATCTGAATGGGCTGTGGCATTGTGTGTGCACTGCATGTCCACATTTCTGCAGATTTCGTCTAAAAGCCAATGAGTGACACAACTCAAGGGACCCACATGAACTGCACCAGATTTTATCTTGCCTTGAAATCTCATCTGTCTCAAAAACGTTAGCCCCAGACATGGAGCACTTCAGAGAAATCTCAGAACTTCCAATAACATTTCTGCAAAGTAGCCGAGATAAAAAGGATCACAATAAATCAAGTTGATGGCAAGTTATTTACCCGGAGGTTCAAACGCTGGCAGACGGACAGGCCTCTGTAGAGCCCATCTGAGACACCAGACTCTCTTTCTAATCAGGACACGGCACCCTGGGGAGGACGGGCTCCTAACTCCACTCACTGAAACTTCTCTGGCCCATGCACACAGCAGACGGCTGGCTCTCTGGCTGCTGTCTTGCAGCTTCTTGTGTAAAGCGAGAGAGGAAGGAGAACTCTCAGTTCCGGGGTCTGGACATAGCGCTGAGCCAGCGTCCCCCAAGTGTGCCACAGACTTCTGAGGGCCTGCACGGCACCCCACCCAACGGCCCAGCCTTGAAGTCTTCCCGCACGGTGCGGCCCCGGAGCTCAGCGGCTGGCCTCCTGCATCCTCCCTCCGTGTCACACATGTGGACTGTCTTAAGCCACGGAAATATCAGAGCAGTACAAAGCACCAGAGACACGGGAACTGTGAGCAGTGCCACCATGCTGGGCTCACTCTGCTGTCCTCCAGAAAGCATGGGATATGGACACCCAGGGCGGGCGTCACTGAGAGCAGATAAACACACGTGTTCTGGGCCAGGAAACGCCGATCTCCACATGCCCACAGGTCCCCGCTCTGGCAGGGTCTCACTGCTGGGCCCGGGTGACAGGGAAATGAAAACCTGCCCGACCACAGGCACCAACCTATTTAACAAGGAGCAGCCGGGGCCCAGCCTCCAGCACAATATCATAAGTTTCTGTCCGCACTGATCACAGAACAGAACAGCAAAGATGTAAGTTATGAACTGAGCAAGGAGGTCAGGCGCAGATAGAGACCGTTTCCCAGAGCGCAGTCTTTAATCACCAGAGGATCTCCTTGGCCTGGCATTTTCCTCCCATGAATTCCCTGGAGGTCGTTACGCATGGAGGACCACTTCATGAGGGCTGTTAGAATCTACACCCGAGGGACTTTGAAACAGAAAAGCCATACTGTGGGGACATTCTCTAGAAGGTCATGCTGTGCTGGTTACCGCAGTGTCAGACGTGTGGTGTGCTCAGTCAGAACACCCCGGCATACAGCACAGGCCATCTGAATGTGGGTGCCAATCCCTGTGAGTGAAACATCAACACTTAAGTAGTGATTTGCAAAGCTGAAAGGGCTAACGCAGATCCCGCCGAGCTGACCGCAGAGAAAACGTTCTCCGGCCGGGGGTCCCAGGTTCTCCAGATTTCACACATTCTAAGGCTGAGATCTGTAACTTAATGCCACTGATACAGGGGTGCATCTGAAAATCAGCAGCAGCTTCCTTCTTCTCCTGCAGTTCTGGGGATCAAACCCAGGGCCTCGTGCATGCTAGGTGAGCACCCTACCCCTGAGCTGTGTCTGGGCCCGGTCGCTGGCCTCAGGCTGATAAGACACAGGCAACTACAGGGATTACAATCACCCCAGAGCCTATCTAATTCCATTCACTGCTTTTAAAATGCATGTATAATTCTGCAGTTCATCTGGATGTTCTGTTTTCTGATCATTCTAGAACCACCTCACAGCTGGACAATGATCAGCGGACGGGGTCTGAGCCCTCCATCTGAACCAAGCAGCCCAGCCTGCGGTGGCACCGCCCGGCAGCGACACAGATGACTGCGTGACACGGAGACTGCTGCCACAGCCACTCTGCACTGCTATGCACAGCTCTTTGCTCTTGGGACAGGCTGTGCAGGAGGCGGGACAGGCGCTCCCAACAGACACCAAGGCAGCCCCGAGACACTTGGGTGGGGCCCTGAAAACTGCGCGGACAGTGAGCACACACTGTGCTGTTTTATACAGAGCGCTGTGTATTAAGATGGCACCGAGAAGGCTTCAAATGTCTTTCCAACTATGGAAGTCTCTGAAAAACTGCAGATTTCTTTGTAACTGTGGAAGTTTAAACACAAAGATTTTGGATGGGGGATAAAGTGCCCAATTGGACATACAGGTCGCCATGTCTTTGAAAGTAAACTTAAACAAACAAACAAAAAAGATATTTGAGGAACCAGATCAACCAAAGAAACTGGGCTCCTCCAGGGCGGGCTGGCTGACGGAACTGCTCGCAGCCAGGCAGCAGAGGACTCTGCAGCTCTGCTGTTGATGCGGCCCCAGGACACAGCAGGGCCGCACTGCACAGCGGACCGGAAGCTTCCTGTGGCCCAGGGACAGGGTGCGTGGCTGCTGTGCCTGTGATCGTGCTGCTGAAGCACACCAGCCACTCTGCCAGGCGTGCACAGCCCTGCCGTGTCTGAGAACCCACAGGACAAGTGACAGTCACTGGTCTGCACCTCCGCTCCTGGGCGTCCGTCCGCAGAGCGAGGACAAAAGCACCGAAGGACACACACCCAACCCGATCCGCCCTAGGCCCACCTGACAACAGCGACTACAGCCAGACTGCTTTCTCGTCAGGTGCCCAAGGTAAATTCAAAGGCACTTATTTCTTAAGAGCCCAGGGAGAAGTCAGACGTGATCAGAGGCCCCAAACAAAAAGGCGTCTCGTCCAAAGTCAGCACTGGAACAGCCCGGGCCCACCACCAGGCTGCTGCTTCCTCGGTCTCGGGGGGGTGGGGGTGGGAGCACAGGGGAGGAGCCTAACGTCCACACCATCTCCGTCATGGGCTTGAGAGCCGATCTCCACCCGAAACAAGAAACAAGTGACAAAAGATAAACCAAAACAACATAAGCTGTGACCCCGTGTCCCCTCTACACATTAACGTACAGGAGCTTAGATCACAGAAGGCCAAGGAATCGAAAGACAAACTACAGCTTAACAGGGAAAGCAAAACATGCACAAGGGGAAGATGAGTGGTTCAAAACGCCCTGGCAGACAGAGGTCTGAGAAACCCCTTTTCCTGAAAAACAGAGGTGAAATAATTATGTAACTTTCACTGCTTTACCTCTTTGGGGTGGGATTTATCTGCTGGGTGGCAAAGTGCTACTCAGAGCTGTAAGCTGATGCGTCAGCTAGGAAAAGCACATTTCCAACCAGAGGGTGTTCACTTTGACTTTTATAAGACAGGACGGCACAGTCCAAGCAGGCTGGCCTTGCACGCTCAATGGAGCCCAGGCTGGCCTTGAACTTGTGATCCTCCTGCTTCAGGCTTCTGAGGGCCAGGATTACAGGTGTGCGCCACAGTGGGCACCCTCTGAGCTCCTTGCACTCCACAGTGGGGGGACAGCGAGTGGCAGACAGCAGTATGTGACACCCACGTTCTGTGCTCCCTCGCGGCTCTGCAGTGTGCTGGGAGAACGTGCAACACGGTGCCGCGATGACGCTCCAACTCCGCCTGTGACGGGGAGGAGCTGCTTTGCTGTGAGAAACTCACTGACTGCCCCGGTCAGCTGCCCCAGCCCTTCGCCCCCTCGCCTGTGCTACCACACGGAAGGGGAAACCCCGCTCCTCTAAGGGGAGGACCGCCCGCGCTTCCTTGCCGAGGGAGCGTGAAGACCACCTAGCCCCGAGCGGATGAGGCCCTGGTCATGCACCCCTCCTGTGGGCACTGCAATGCCCTGGTTGGAGCCTCTCCCAGCTGTTCCTCACAAGCCTCGTTCCTGAGTCCACAGCGCTGGGCCACAGGCTGTCACTGCACGGTGGCCCATACGCCCTATGTGTGCAGCAGCGTCACTCACAATCACTGGCGCCAAGGCGGCCTGTGTGTCCACCAGCACAGGGACAGGTAAAGCAAGTGTGGTATTGGACACAATGGAGCACTACGCCCCCATGAACAACGGTGAACCTGAGTCCTCTGTAGGTCAATGGGTGCAGCCTGAGACCACGACAGGAAGGGAAATAAATCAGACGAAAGCTTAAATATACCAGGGTTTCTCTTATGAGAAACCCTAAGTATAAATCACCCAAAGTATAATACAGAGCAAGAGAGTAGACAGATAAAAAGAAACATGGAGAGAGACCTTTTATAAAAGGACGGGGACCGAGAGATAGGGGAGGGGAGAGAGAGAGGCTAAGGGGACGTGAAGAGAAGCGAGCTGTGTCCCGTCCAGGCACTGATGGGGTGAGCGCCAACATCACAGACTCACAGGAGTTAGATTTAAAAGGCAAACCTCGCTGACAGTAACGAAACAGACCGCTGGGGTCCCTCCACCCAGACAGCACGTAGCCCTGGGGAGCAGTGGCCAGCATGTGACGGTCCCCATGGACGCCACCCGCTGGCTGCCTGGTGTGCTCCTCATCGGCCACGCCAGACACAGGCCTACAGCAGGGGCTTCTTAGGATGCAGCAGTCCAGGCAGCCTCATGGGAGGTCCAGGAGCCCTACCACAGGCCAGCAAGGCCCGTCCCGTCTTCTTCAGGTATTTGGCCCCAGAGCCTGGGCTGGAAGCATGGGGCACAACCGTCCACGAGGGACAGATCTCTTGATTCCCCCATGGAGGCTTACAGCACAAGAGCAGCACTTCCTGGGCTGGGAGGAGGACAGGTGCCTTTCTGCTTCGGCGATAACACGTCTTGGAGAGATGGGGTGTGAGTGTGCAAGGCGGGAGACATGCTCAGAGCCACACAGACTTGAGAGTGGTGAAGGCAGGCCGCCTCGTGTGTGTGTCTGACCGCAGGAGCCCGAGCCTGCACATCAGGGAGCTGTGTGGGGCCAGGTGCAGCACACTCCCCCAACCCAATCCTCAGCCGCACTTCCTGTCCCCCATCCAGGGAATCCGGAAGCTGGCCAGGCGGATGCTGGGGTCCCTGCTTCTCCAGGCCTCAGACCTGCACTGCCGCAGGCCCATGGTGTCTGCCTCACTCCCAAGGAACAGTAACAAGCACGAAAGCTCTTCTGGCTTCCAGAGGGAGCTGGGCCAAGCCAGCCCCAAGGGCACCTGCATCCGCAGGACAGGGACAGAGGGTGTGGCTGAGGCCACAGTGGGGCACTCTGGCTCCCAGGGGCAGGGGGCACACGGAGAGGCGCCTACACTTAGGCACATTCTAAGAAGTGAAACCCAAAGTAAACACCCAGACACACGACAACCTATACTTTCCCCGCACCTGGCAGACAGAACAGCGAACGCCTGCCTCCCCCTTGGCACAGCCTGCAACTGCCACCCTTTTCCGCACTTCACTGGGCGACGTTGCCACCTCCAAAGCTGCTCCCTGGAATGGCAGCCCAGGTGCTGCTTGGGAGAACGGCCCTGATCCCAGTCCCGCACCACCCCATGCCTGGGAAGTCCCGGCCTGGCTCCCGCCACTCCCTGTCAGTGTGGACTCGCGCTGCTCTGGTGGCGCACTTTCCACAGTGAAGTCCCACAGACTCCCCACAGGTGTGCAGGCCGGGAGGGCCCGGCGGACCTGTGAAGAGGGGCACAGCAGACTGGCATCTTGAGGGCTGCGTGAAGCAAGGGTCTGGGGCATGGGCATGAGAAGGATGTGGGGCCAGATTTTCTCCACCGCTCACCAGCTGAAAAGCCCGGTTCTCAGATGGACAGAGGAGACCTGCCCTCCCAGGCCTCAAGAAGGAGGCAGCTACACGAAGAGGGAACCTCATAAGTCCCCTCCGTGACTGCACACAGAGTGGAGCAGCTACGCCGCTGCAGGGCCCATCTCCACCCCCAGCAGCAGTGAGGAGCCACTGTGTCAGCAGCAGCGCAGCCTGCCCGCCGCTGCCCACGGCTCCTGCCCGGCGACACCAACCTGGGAGAGAGGGCATTCTTTGGCTAGTGTGCTCTGGTTCATCTCTTTGAGCAGCTCCTTTAAGGCATTGCGGACGGTGGCATGGTTCCACTGCTCCGCTGGCAAGTCTTCCAACTTTGAACAGCTGCAAAACAGAGCAACAGTGACACCGACCCCACCGCAGACCTCAGAGATGCCACACCAGGGTCCCAGGGCCGGAGGAGAGAGTGACCCTCAGGGTGTCTACATCACCACCCTAGCCTAGGAAACATGGCAGCTTTGGAAAGGAAGAAATGTTCCTTCTCCAAACAGGATTTTTCCAAAGAGCTGATGGAAATGGCATGAGGTATTCCCAAAGTTAGATGTCAACACGTGCCATCGCATCAGAAGTCTGAAGGGCCGCCTTTCCCCTCACAGGAGAATTCCCAACTGAAGATAATGCTGAAGACAAGACACGCACGCGTTTCCGGTAAGGACAGGGCTCCTGGGTCCCTGGCACAGTATAAATCCTCCAAAGGAGAAAACCCAAGAACTCTTACAATGAAGGCAAGTGGCCCCTACGTCAGGACTAGCAGGTGCCTCACAATAAAAAACGCTAGAACCTTGGGTTCTGTCCCAGGCCCTCGCTTTGGACGCCCTATCCAGAAGGGCCGGGCCCTGCAGCTCTGCCCCATCAGCGTGCATTTCACCACATCGGCCTCCAGGGAGGGGAAACAGATCTCAGGCTGGCAGGTCCTTGGTGAACCACGACCTGGGCTGCAGCCTGGGAGGGGCTGTCCTGGGTGTTTGTGTACCCCACTGATGGGTGGGGCCCCTCCACCCCCTGCAGAGCTGTAACCACCACTCGGGCTGCCCCGGGAAAGGGACACTTCACTGCTCTGAAAACAAAGCATAAACTCCTGGAATGTGGGCCATAAAGGTGCCGGGAAGCCTCTTGCCCCCCTGCTCTCCTCCGCCTCCTCCTCCTCCTCCTCCACCTCCTCCTCCTCTTCCTCCTCCTTTTCCTCCTCCTCCTCCTTTCCTCAATGTCTAGAAATTCATGAACTTGGGGCACACTGATCTCCGCAGTGAATCTCCCATGGAGGAGCAGCTCAGAGAGAGGAAGGAGAGGCAGATGTTCAGAAACACCCACCTTTGTAATTGGATTTTCAACGTCACGACATGATAGACATCTTGCAGCATGTCGGCCACGGTGGCGTCGGGCGCGTCTGTCACATAACTGAGCGGGAGAGGGTTCCACCTCCCCAGCTTGATTATTCCTGCACAGGGAAGAAAAACATCATAAACACAGAGCTGCTATTTACGAACCCTTCCCACTGTTTGTGCACTGTTAAGGCGGTCACACAACAGCCAGAAGTCAAGGCTGCGGAGTGCCCGTCCGCCTGCAGCAGAGCCCACCCACGCCGGGCGCATCATGGCAGCCAGTGGCAGCAAGTGGTTCCTGCCGGGGACACCGAGTAGCCAGCTCCACGGGAGACGGGCACGAGAAGGGTGAGGCTGAACCGGGGACAGCAAGTTCTTTATGTCTTCCTGTTTCCTAAATTACTGAGGAGGCCATACGGATACTTCCTCCCCACAAAGTCTTGTTTCACAGTCTAAGTTAAGACTGATGCTAAATATACAGGACTGCTGATTTCATAGACAAAAAAAAAAAAAAAAAAG